TTCCCCCCTCCTCTAGCCGCTGGGCACGCTCCAGCTCCTCCGCTGAGGTGAAGACGTTCTTGTTCAAAGTCCTCTCGAAGCGACGATGTCTCCTGACTGAGATGTCGGATGCCGCGTAGGAGCTGCCATCCTCGCTGTCGCTGCTGTTGCTGCTGCTTTCTTGGTCCTGCAGGAACTTCTTCTGGGGATGCTGCCGGCAGTCTGTGTGGCAAGTAATCCTCATCACCAGGGCAGCTACGGTGAGGACCAGCCCGATGCACACACCAGAGACAAAGTACAGGGCTGCTCGCTCAGGATTTTCTGGAGGAGGAGGAAGAAGAGAACATTTGAGAGATGACCACTATATATGCAGAGAGCAAATATGACTCCAGCACAGGATGCACGCCTCTCACCAGACCTCAAAGCTTTGATGGTTACAAATATTGCCTTTCCATGTGACCAACTGCATAATGTTTTTAAAATACAATTTTCAACAAATGGTGAATGTGGGTAAAGAGTGTGTGGAATTCTCTTACTATTCCTGTAACTTAACTTCAAAATTATTTCAAAATGAAAAGTTAAAAAGAAAATATTATTTAGCATTTACTAGAAGCAAGTAACTGTGCCATTTGCTTATACCAGAAAAATCTTTGCTTCTGAATTTGCTCCTGCAACCCCTTGAATTACCTTTTAATCATAGTTGTAGGTAACTTCTGAGATGACCCCCCACCTCTTGGTATTCATACTCCTCTTATGCAAGCCCTTCCCTCCAAGGGCTGGATGTAGTGGGCTGGACCTAGTGACTTACTTCTAACAAAAATGATGGATGACTCAAGATCAGGTAACCCAAGACTGACTTCTAACTTACTCATGCTCTCTCTCTCTAACTTACTCACTTGCTTGTCTGATGCAGTCAGTTCCCATGCTACGATCTGTACTACAGAGAGGACTGCATAGCGAGGAACTAAGGGTGGCTTCTAACAGCCTTCAAAGCTTGGAAGTATATGAATATGTTTTGTGTATTTAAAATTTTATTTTGCTTAGCTGTATTTATAAGTATTCTATTCTCATTGACATTACTTTTGTAATAAATAATGTTATTTTACTGGAAATTAAAATTTTGAAGTGAATCCTCTCCTGGTGGAGCATTGAGGTGGCCACAACCCTGGTCATGCATCAGCCTTGTGGGACACCTTGAATCAGAGAACCCAGCTATGCCAATCCCAGGTTCCTGACTTACAGAAACAGAGAGATAATTAATATGTGTTGTTTTGAGGTACAGATGGTCCCTGAATTGCAATGGCTAGACTTATGATTTTTTAACTTTACAATGGAGTGAAAGCAATATGCACTCAAGTAGAAATTGTACTTCTAATTTAAAATTTTGATCTTTCCCTGTGCTATCAATATGCAGTACAATACTCTCTCTTGATGCTGGGCAGCAGCAGTGAGCTGTACTCCCAGTCAGCCACATGATCACTTAAGCCATTCTGAACATAGACAACCATTCAGTTTTTCACTTTCAGTACAGTAGTCAATAAATTACATGAGATATTAAACACTTTATTAAAAAATAGGGTTTGTGTTAGATGATTTTGCCCAACTGAAGATTAATGTAAGTGTTATGAACACATTTGAGGTAGGTTAGGCTAAGCTATGATGTTCCACAGGTTATGTGTATTAAATGCATTTTTGTCAATATCAAAAGAAAAAATCCAATCAAACAATGCGTAGAAGACCTAAATGAGACACTTCTCCAAAGAAGACCTTCAGATGGCCAAGAGGCACATGAAAAGATGCTCAACATCACTAATTATTAGAGATATAATTACACTGAGATATCACCTCACACCAGTCAGAATGGCCATCATCAAAATGTCTACAAACAATAAATGCT